TCACTTGAAAATCAAATTTAAAGCCATTGAGCTGTAACAGTGATCAAAACCTAAGAGAACAAATAATACTATTTCAGGTCGCTCTGCGATGAACAAACTCCAGTCGTGTTAAAACTCATCACGTTTTTTTTTTTGTTTGTTTCATTTACCGTTTCTCTTTCTCGCAGAAAAATCATGATCACTTTTTTCGATCACGTCTGTGAGCTTTTCAGAACGTTTGAATCGCGTTTTGCACGCAATTTTAAGTTATTTATAGTGACAACCGTGACCCTGTCTAGCGATTAGTTTATCAAAATATGATACAATAGGTCACTTTTATGAGCGCCTCAGTTCTAACTACAGTCGTATTATAAATTTCCCTCGGATTTACTTTGATGTTTATGTGCACTACTCAAATACGTCAGTTATGCATACATAGTGCTATGTGTGGCTTTAAACTTCAGATTGTCCTGTTTTCCTCTGTATTTCGAACATGAAGTTTGTTAGAGGTCTTAGCTGAGCTGAACGACTGAACATATAAACAAGCACACTGCTGAGCATTTTACGCTTCGCTAAAGTGGTTTAATGTTTTAAACATTTCAAAACTCAGATATACTTCACTTTTGATGTAAATGAATTATCAATGGAAAGAATCAATTATTTGCATTCTTTTTTTTTTGGCTCAGATTTTCTCTGGGGGGGTTAGGGGGGGTTAGGGGGGTTAACGTGAAAATACTCTCGGAGGAATCTTGACATTTTCTCAATCAATTTTCCATCAAATCCAGAATCAAGAACATGGTCATGAAATAGGCTCTACCGATGATGGAAACTTTTGTATGAGGAAAAAGAATTCTGCAAATTTTCAATTACTAGACACTAATGGCTTATCCATCTTTTCGTTATGTTCATGTAGACAAGTAAAGAAGTTTATTTGATTTTGAATGGCTACAACAAAGCTTTCAAAGACACCAAGAGCAAAGAAGGTCCATCCACATCTCTTTCATCGAGTAGTGCAGAGCTACCAGACACTGTTGACTAGAGAAAAAAAGGTTAGGAAACTTAGGTTAAGAATCAGGGTCAGTGTGGATCATGCTGGGCCTTCATTCAAAGACCAAGAAATACAGCAAGAAATACATGGAAGATGAGACCCATATCACAGAAGTGACTACTTTTGTGTTTCGAATTAAAACGAATATCTCGAAGTGGATGAAGAATGGCTAAGTAACGATCGGCTGTAATGAAAACAAGAGTTATGATGCTAGCGGCAATAGACAACCACGCCCCCCCCCCTCACTACTCCTAAGAAATTAACGCTCTTGCACGTGACTTTTCCCACTGCCCCTGGGATCCAGGACAAGCCAGTTTACAAAATTTCACCCACAAGGACAGGGAAATACACCAGACACACGACTATTTAACTCACAACTGATAAATGGCCGAAATTTTAACCGACAACTGATATTTGTACCCCCCATCTTAATCGACCCCGACTTTCTCTGTCCTACATCGTAGCTTAGTCGGCAGAGTAACTGTAGATCTAATCCCAAGGTCGTGGGTTCGATTCCCACCGAAGTCACAAGAATTATTTCTTTACCTCGTTTGGGTCCCTGATACCCTTTACAAGGGCTAACGTTCAGTGGGTTTTTCATGGGTTTCATTCAGCACTTTAATTTACGCTTCAGAGTTAATTCTCTGGTCCATCATTTGAGGAACGCTTTTTCGTCTACTTTTCAACTAGGTTATTGGAGAAAGCGTCCCTTAGAAATCCAGGCGAAAATGGGCGCGAAATGGCCGCCCAGATCTAGACACCGTAATTGGGGTAATATCTTCATCCTCTTGGTCAGAAAAGTCGTTTTCTGAGTCTGTGTCATATTCGTCTGCATGTGTTCGCACCTCAGCAACTGTCACTTCAACAATACGGTCATCAACAAATGTGATATCTGTCACATCCCCACCTTCCGAAGTAGCTTGAACAGCTCAGCCTTTGTCGCTGCTGAACCCTACTGACTGATCTCCCGAGTTAAAATCGTTACCTAGTCCCGCCAATTAGTCCACTTTGGTTGAATCTTGTTGTTTCGTGTAGACGGCCGGTGGTAGAGCTCCTGCCCTGTCCTTGGTAGTTTCCTCCCGAACTGTCCTCTGCCTCAAGGGACGATACTTTTCCATAAATTCTTTCATAGCACTTTCAATCTCGGGGTCGATCTCTACTGAAGGTAGAGGTCGCATAAAGTTTACATTTGCAAACTCCGTGCTGGTCTGAGGGACAGGATAGTAGGATTTTTCATGAGTAAAATAATTGGCTGCCCATTTCGTTACTCTCTTCAACGACTCCTTGGTAATTAATCCAAAGTCTTGGGAATACTGTAATGCGGTGAACGTCTCATGCTTAAAATGTGAAACTGCATGTAGATTCTTCACAACAGTTGTGAGTAATGTGCTAAATTCAATG